GCAGGAAAGCCACACGACGAGCAAAGGCTGACGGAAGGCTCGCCTAGCGAGCCCCCTCCAAACCACGATAGCCCTGCATACACAACCTGCATGGCGATCCACATGCTCTCTGCGCAAGCGTCCGCCGTCAAGGATCCTCTCTCGTCATCCAACAATATCATGTTCTCTACAGTAGTCAATTCGTTTCCTTCAGTCTTCAATCACTTGCCCGTCTTACGTGCATCAGCAGAGCAATCAAAGGGCGACGTATAACGGGGAGGGAGGGCATTGGGGGCATTGTTGGAGGAGGAGGGCGCAGGGAATTTTCTTGCATGCTTCAGCTTTCCAACGCCCGGCCGCTCCCTCCCTTTCGGGACATCTTTTTACCCGGCCAGTCCAGCCGCCCTCCCGGGCTGTGTAGGTCATGATCAATCGGAAACATCGGTGGCTGCGGAGAAATAAAAAAAGGAAAAGGAGGCGGGGTGGCTTGGTTCTTTTCCTTCTTTCCACACGCCACTCGCGTCCTGCCCTTTTTACCTCCCGCGCCTCACTATCTCTCTCGCCCGTTTCCGATGGGAGGGCTTTTGTGTAACCCGGCTCCGGTTTGTAATGCCCGCACCGTGGTTCCGGGTTGGGCTCGGCTTTGTCCGGCTCTCGTTATCCTGCAGGGCTCACGGGGACGCAGGGGAGAAGAGAGATCTAGGCAGGTTGCATGTGGAGGTGACTGTTGGGAAGTTGAGTATTGGGCTGTGATTGGGGGGTTGCGGTCCGTCGAGTCTGACTGAACCTTCCCCTGCACTCTGCTTTCTGCGGGTTGCCGGACAGGGTACGAGCGCGGGAACGATGCTCCCGGGCCGTGTACCACATGAGGGGGACCGTAGATAGTGTCTCTCTGGGCTATGTAGTAAGCTCATGCCCTCGGGGGCTGAGGTCCAAAGATTCTGTATGTGGAAGCCGTATAGCGTATGCGCCTGCGGCTAGGCGGGTTGGCGGTGAGATGTAAGTGGTGTGGTGTACCTACCTGACGCAAGCTCCCCCTGCATAGAACATCTCCACGCAAGTCATCTGCACATCAAAAAGTCTAAAAGATGGAGTGGAGAAGGAAAAAACAAGGAAGAAAAAGGTCGGCATGAATATGAAAGCCGACAGTGGCCTGAGCACCCGAAGTATCAGGAGATGAGGATGAACAGGAGTAGCAGATGATGAGACTGGTACAGAGGCCAAGAAAAGAAAGGGTGGGAGAACCACGCGCTTACCTACGCATTCCCCTTGTTGGTTTTGCGGCTACGTGCGCGTGGCGTGGGCACACCAAGGTGGACACCTGGGCTGCGCCGCAATGCGGCAAGCCGCGCGAAGAGGGGGGCGATGGTGGGCATCAAGTATACACAGCCGCAGCATATGCTTGCTTATTCTTACTTTTTCCAACGGCGGGCGGCGGACCGGTGCGGTATCCGTGATCGCCAGGAGAAGCAACCCGGGGATGCCGGCCCAAAAGTCAAAGACAGGCGGCAACAATGCAGGGCAGCGGAGATCGGTCCTCAGAGCCTCAGATCGAAGAGCTCGGACGACGTGACAGTCCCGGCGGGCAGAATTCCTTTTTCCGAGCGCCTGACCGTCCTGCTGCGGCCTAACCAGGTCCGAGCATAGGCGCTTCTACGGAGCATGAGTCGAAGGCTTGCTGATGGAAGCTGAGGTGACGCTGACTGATTGAAGGGGCGGAGAAATAAGGGAGAGAGCAGTGACGACGGAGATGGCCGCGCGAGTCATCACTGAACTCCACAGCGGACTTTGTTCGGATGATCCGCAGAGCATCCAAACCCAAATCCACAAAGATGTGACATGGGGAAGGACGGGGTCTGGAGCGGGATTTTTCTTTCTCGGACGTATTTCGCAAAGGCTGACGATAGCCGGCTGGCCGAGAGAAGGACGATAACGACCAGCTGAGCGGCATGATATCCGAATCGCAGCTGGAAGAACCGGATATCAAAGTGCAACGCTGACTCGAAAGGCAGCGCAGATCTACGCTCTCGGTGCGCATGTACCGTTGCGCGCATCGAGTCTCGGAAGCCTTGCAGGTCGAAGTGCATCCCGTATCTGCCATGCCAGTGATCGGTGTGAGGTTGTGGCCAGCATGAATCTCGGGCAGCAGCAGGCTGTTCGCTGCAAGTGGGATATACAACCTGAAGAGGAAGAGAAGGCTGAGACAGCGGGCGTGTGTCACCCAGAAAGCAAGCTTGCCTTCCAGGGCAAATGACAGCTCAGCGAGGGCAGCGAAAGGCTCAAGGGATCTCGCGTCTCACGCCATGCGAGATGCAATGCTGACGGCGATGCCTACACATCTGGCACACGTGATGGGGTCCATGGCTGGTCGGGCAGAGCCGCTGCGGCTTGTTTCGAAGTCCCGCTGCGGCGCACGGCAGATTGCTTGGGCAACGGGCGGCGCGTTTGAGATAGCCGCTGCAACGCGAGAGCGAGGGAGATTGCTGTCGTGGCGGCGGTTCTGTCCTGTCGATGGCAATGCACAAAGCTGCCCTTGCGTCGGTTGTCGCGTGCCAGCAGCTGGAGGCATCGAGGGACAGGCACCGGGGTCATCCGACACTGCGGGTGTTCATGCCGTGCCGCTCGGCGGGGGAAGACATGCTGCAAGCAGGTGAGTGGTCGAATTTGCGTTTCGCTAGCCGGCGCAGCGTCGCAAGCGCTGACAAGACGGACCGTGGGTTGGAAGTTGGCGGGCGGGAGAGCATCGCTGCATCCGCCGGAGCAAGCCACGCAGCGGGAATGAGGACGCAAACGAGATCGGGCGATGGACGAGTAGCAGCGACGATGACTTGCCCGTTGCGGGCCAGTCACGCAGGCGCAGGCCGGACTTTGCGCGCCGGAGTTTGCGCAGGGCGTGTCGAGGGAATACCAGCGCACCACCGGCTGCAGGGACTCGACCCTTGGTCCTGCCGCTCCTGCGGCGCAGCCGAGCTGCTGAAATGCTTGGCTCGCGGGCGGGGGACAAAAGCAAAGTGGTGGTGCCCGGCCATTTGGCGGCAGCCTGCCACGACGACCCCTCCTCCCTGCTGCAAACGGCCGCCGCCTCAGCCATGGGAATTCGCTGCGAGAATGCAGGCGCGCCCATGACTCCCAGACCTGACCTCTCGCCCCGCCGTGCGTGGTGTTTGTCGACGCTCACCGTCGGTCAGCCCGCAGCTGTCGTTGCGGATAGATTGGCCTGGGGCGGTTCCCCAAAAGAGGAAACGGGGGGGAGCCAGCCCTGCCGGGCTGCGGCACCACCAGCTGCACGCTTCCAGGGCCAAAGCGGGACCCCGTTGCCGCCAGGGGACCGCGCACGAAATGGACCGCGGGCTCGACCAGCTGCCCTCGCGCTGGCGCCCGCGACCGATGATGTGTGTGGCGCGCCCCAAAACCCTGGGTTGCGTGAAAGGGAAAAAAGGGCTTGTGCGCTGCAGTCGGTCGTGCGCGCCGGTCGGTAGCAAACAGCGCGAGCGAGCCCCTCTCTCTCCAGCCAGGAAAAAAAAAAAATAAACGCCCGCCAGGAACCGCTTCAATCAACGCGCGCCTGCCAGCTCAGCCACAACCCCGGTCCCTTGGTTTCTCTCTCGCTCTCACCATTTTCCTTTCCCCTCATCAGGCGCCGAGAACACCCCTGCCACGCTCACGCCTCTTCCCCAACGGCCTCCTCCGGCGCCGCCCGCAAAAGAGGCAAACCGGCTCTTCGCTTCTTGCGGCAACTCCACTCTCTCAAAGGGGAGCAAGCGTGCGCTCGCGCCCCCGGGACCCCCTCCCCAAAAAAAGCCTGCTGAAGCCTGATGGGAACAGTGGACGAAACCCACTCGTGTCCACGCACGCACCTCCCCTCATTCCCGTCCCCCAGGCCCGGCGCCGCCGCGTGCAGCAAGGCAGAGGCCCCAATGTTTTTTTTTGTGCTTGATGAATTTTTCGCGGAGCCTTGTGACTTGTGTGCCGGTCCCTGCCCCCGGGGACGACTCCGCCGCGCCTTTTGATGAGATGATTGTGGGTATGTACTCCCTTTCCAAAGGGCGCACAGGTCACCGTGACCCTGCGTTGTTTTGAGACGACGACTCTCCACACGCTTCCATTTGGGAAATCCCCGAACTCCGTCCAGAGCTGCGGGAAAATGACGATGGATGCACGTCAGCAATGCGAGTCGTGTGAGTGGCACAGAATTAAGGGACGCTTTTTCGCTTTGCTATTTTTTTTTTCGACCCGTCTCCACCCTTCTGCCTGTTGTGGTCCAGCCCAATCAGCTAGTGGTGGGCCTTTTGCCCCTTCTACCAGTTGTTCTGGTATGGGCCTCGGACGCGGATCGCCATTGTAATATACTACACTTCATGAATAATAGCAAAGAGTTTCTCTTGCTTGTGATCGCTCTTTCATAACCTTTCGTGCGCTACCTCCGGCACTTCCGCGGACGGCTTCTGCTCGGCTGGCGGAAAAAATGAAACAAAAAAATTTGGTGGGGAGGTGGCCAATGTTACAATGACAATAATGAAATGAATAGTGTGTGTGTGATGCGAGCCGTCCACTGTGAATGCCTCCCCCCGCAGATCCGAAGAACCATGGTTCCGGTGATGTAACCCTTCACCCACTTCTGTCTCTGCAACCGCCTTGTTGAGAAGCCAAGGATATCAACCCATGAAGTACCGGTAACCCACCAGGCTCCAGTCCCCGCGCTGATTGCTCCGAGCAAAAAAAGAAAAGAAAAAACCAGAACCCGTGCCTTGTGTGTATCTCGAAAGAAGATCCGTTGAGAACCCCAGTCCGGAAGTTAACGCCTTTTTGCCCGTTGTTTGCTCCGGTCATAGCCATGACGGCATGCGTCTATTGCGTGCAATGCTCGTGAGTCAATGAATAGATGTAGAGAAAAAAAAAAGAATTACTAAAGGGAATATGTGTTGGCCCGCAAAGCAACCATCTCTTGTAAGATGCCCGAAGCGAGGCCGCCAACGCCGCCCATGTGATGAAGCAAAAGTGAGAAGAGATCGGCCCGAAGTCTATGCATCGAACTTGCGCTGTCCACCGGCAGCGAGAGCGAGGGCCTCGAGACCAAGCGTGCCCTGCATGGATCCAGGCGACAGCTGGAAGTGCTCCGGAGGCGGGTAGCTCATGCCGTCAGGGTATGGCGATGTAACGTAGTCGCCGATGGGCTGCACGGCAGGGGCGCCGCTGAAGCTCGAGCGCGGGCTGATCTGAAGGTTGGGATCCACCATGGACGCGAGCTGGATCTGGCCCTGGACGGACTGGATGGGCGAGGGCTTGGGCCGGGGGGCGGACTTGGCCTTTTTCACGCGGCTGTCGTCGTCCGTCTTGGAGGCGTTGCGTGCGTTGCGGCCGTTCTGGTGGGTGCGGCGGTGCTGCTCCATGTTGTCCTTGCGCGTGAAAGCTTTGCGGCAGTCCGGGCAGACTGCGTCCTTCTTGCCCGTGTGCTTCTTTGCGTGGCGTGCTGCGTGGCCCGAGGTGGTGAAGTAGTCCTTGCAGCCGAACGAGGAGGCGAGAGGGCACGGGTACTGGTTCTTCTTTGTCCGGGGCTGCGTGGGAGGCATGGGCTGGCGCTCAGTGCCGGGAGGGCGAATGAAGACCTGGCTGGGTTGAGGGTGCTGCGCGTAGGCCTGCTGCATCATGGGAGGATACTGCTGCATCATCTGCTCCTGCTTGACGGAGGGCATGGGGCCGATGTAGTAGGGCAGCTGCGACATGTTGGGCGATTGCGATTCCTCGTAGTTGAAGGTGGGGGTGGTTGGTGACGGGGAGCTCATGGCCGCCGAGTCGGTCGAATCGCTGCGGAGAAGTTGTGGTGTCTGTGGTGAGAGGCAAGGTGAAGAGGTGTAGCTGGACGTGCGCGAACGAAGACCCGGCTCTAGCGAGGGAAGTCGGTTGACGGGAGCTGGAGCTGGAGCTGCTGAGTCTTCGTTCAACAGCGAAATGCGGCGGCCGACGGAGTTCCTGCCGTCCATGATTTGCGATGTATACGGTAGCGACGAGCGGGATAAGCGGGGCGACCCGTGCAGCGGAAAGGCGCTTTGCTGGGGCGGTGACGTGGTTGCGTGGAAGGCGCTCTGGGTCTCTGCGGCAACACTGGCGGTGGGCGGTACCGTGCTGGGTGAGGGATTGGGAGAAGAGGCAGTGCGCTCGTGCCGTGGTAAAAGGGCGACGGTGGCTTGGTAGAGGCTGTGAGAGCGCAGAGATGTGGGTGAAGGTTGGATGCGCTGGTGTTTGGCAGTTGCTGTCTTGGGACGGGGACACGAGAGACGTGGGCGAGCAGAGGCTTCTTATGGCGCGGATGGGGAAGGGCAGGGAAGGACGGGCGGCATCCAGGGCGCGCATCCAGCAGGGTTCTGTGCGATTGCCCAGGGTCGCATATGGGCTTTCGCAAAGCGCATCAGAATGGCATACTCAGACGCCAGGCAGGCCCGGCTGGCGCCCCACGCAAAGCCACGGCTCGCGTGGATCTCGCAGGCCCCTTCGTCCCTCGAGCGCAGCGGGCGCGCCCCCGGCCGCATCCCCCGCTGTACGAGTCTCGGTGCCCAGCACCCCCCCTCGCGCGCCGGCAACGACAAGGCGGCGCCGCGCGCAGCAGCTCATGGGCGCGGGCAGCGGCCGCTTTCGGCTCGCGCAGCCTCTCTCCGCGCCGCCCGCCACGACTCGCGCGCGGGCAGCGCATCCCTGGACTCCAGCTGGTGCATCGATCGATCGATGCCGTCCAATCTCTCGAGACGTGTGCCTCGCGCCCGCTTCTGGCACGCCCCACCCCGTCGTGCGGCTCGCCCGCCCACGAGCGCTGCCTGTGTCAATAGCGGGCTCCTTGCTTGCGGAGGCCGTGCCGTGCTGCCCTGCGCGCGCGCAACCGGCGCCGGCGCAGTGAAGGCCGCGGCAACGCGGATCGCGGGCGAGTCAACGGCGCGCATTGAGTCGCGCAGCGCGAGGCATCGCGACCTTTGAGCCTTCAGGCGCGCCGCTGCCACAGCTCGCAGGCAGCTTCCGGCGCCAAACGCCGTTGGCGATTACATCACAGGGCTTCGCGGCGACAGGGTTCCCGCCCTCGCTCCAGGTCCTCACCGGCGGCCGCGCTGCTGCCGTCCCCCTGCGCGCACCAGACCCCGTGCGGCTAGCGGCCCTGAATTCTAGATCTCCCTATAATTCCTCGATCTCCTAGCACACTCGTCCTCTTCTCGCCCTCTGATGATACAGCTGCCGCGACGATCGAGCTGCCGCGCTCCTGACGGCCGCCGCAACAGGGCCTGCCGCCGCCGCGACCTCACCCCCCCGTCCGCCGAGCCAATGGATGCCCGCCGCCGCACCGCAATATTAACCCACCCGCCGTCTGGATCTCCGATCTGATCGCACATCGACTCGCCAGCCCGGTTGGGCGCCAGCCTGCGAAACGAAGGCCCTCTGCTAGCGCAGGAGACGCCGCGGCGCGTCGCGCTCGTCGCCGCTCGATTGGTCTCGCCAGCTCCTGCGCGACGAGAGCCTCGCTGCGCCATGCAGGGCAAACGACCGGTGCGTCGCGCCGGTATGACGTAGCACAAAAAGCCGACAGCACTCGGGCCTTCCTCCTCTCAGGGTCTCGCACCCGCTCGGCTGGGTCACCGCCGCCGGAACGCCGTGGAAGCGCGCCCTGCACCGGGATTTGCGCCTGTTGTTGCCCTGGTCCTGGCCTCCTCCACCGCCGTCGGGCTCCACCCTCCGCGAGGCTCTGCGAGCTGTCCGGCGACTGTTCAGGAAACTTCGCACCACCCCCGGCACTGACTCTCGCCTGCGCGCCTGACGCAGATCGCACTCCCGGCTTCCCGCCCCCAATGCCGGCACGTTGCACGGGTCAGCGCGTCCCTTCGCCTGTGTCCGCAGCCCTTTCAATGCGGCGCCGGCGCCGTCGTCATCGTGATCCCAAGGCGAGCGCACGCGCGCTCATCTCCGCGCCTGTGCACGTGGGTTTGATGCGCAGTGCAACGCCCCAAGCGAAGCGCTGCCACCGCGATCGGAAACTCTACCAATCTGACAGGGCCACGCATGGCCGACAAGTCAATGCTTGTCACCCCAGACTCCCAATGCCGGCTAGCAAGCCACAACAGCCGCGCGACCTCCCGCTTTAGTGAAATTGCGGTTAGAATGCGCGAGTCTGGAACGTCTGGAACGTCGTTATGGAACGTGTGCTTGGAAGATCCGGAGATGAAGCCGGGTTTCGAGTCTTCGATTTCCCTGTTTCGAGAAGCGGAGCATGAGGGAGCGGTGACAAGTCTCACGAGAGACGGCTGACGTTCCCCCTTTCGTTGCTGACACAGGCTCGCAGGACACGCTGGAAAGGGTTTATTGGTGGGAGAAAGGACCCTGAATATCGCTCGCGTGCATCACGGTGAGTTAACTCAGGAACGCCTGCTCGCCCGCGTCCAAACCCGCTTTGACCTACCCCAAAGAGATCTTGGCTACACCGGGGTCCGCTATAGCACCACTAGCCACAGCGGCGGCGGCGGCACTTGCACGTGTCATGCACCGTTGCTATGGGGCTCTCTCGGCCACTATGACGTAGCATTATGCCGAACGATGACGGCATCGTTCGAGACCGCGATGCTAGAACTTAGTTCTACACCTAGGCGCGTGTTCTGGCGAGCGGTGAGGGCGCTGTGGCGGACTCCTTTCTAGAGGAACGGCAACGTGCAACCTCATCAGGGTCTGTTCTCAGGGCGCTGCAGGGACCAGAATTCCAGAATTGATCTTGGTTGAGAGCCAGGCTGGTGGCAACCGGGGCTGTCTTGGCCGGAGCGCATTCCGCCGTTCGCTTCGATCAGTGGGCCATATACGCAGAAGATGTCATACAATGTGAGGAACCTGCCGGTGGTTTTCTGCACTGGCCATGAAAATCATGCCGTTTGGGAAGTTCTCAGGCACAGGCCCGCGGGCGCCGCCATGGCGATTATACATGCTTGCATCATTCTTTCAGCAATGCCACTTTTGTTTTCGGACCACGGTCACGCGGAGACCTCGCCCTATTCGACGCTTGAGGAGTATGATGCGTCGTTTACAACATGTTGACTTGACGAGTCGTTCGCTGCCTGCCAGCTCGAGACATTTCGGCAAGGTTGCCCCGCAATCTGGGTGGACCAACAAGCCCCCCAGGTCCGACGCTATATGCAAACGTCCAAGTCCCCTTGCATCGCAATCGGAATGGGCACCGAAACCACGAGCGCATAATGGCGCAACTACCATGAAGAGACTGTACGACCCGATCTGCTGCAGAATGCTCTGTTCCCCCGATAGAATACCACGGAGGTATGCTACGTGCTACCTGTGGCGACGACAGCGTTTCAATTTAGACGCAGGCGCCCGTGCGCTAGCCTCGGAGCCATGGCTAACGGGCGTCAAACCCGGGCGGCTGCGTCGATCGTCACTGTCGCGCACAGGTTACAACAACGACGACGACGACGACGACAGGCGCGGTGCGTCTGTCGCGCAACCTCAGGATTTGAGTTTCTTGCACGAGACGCTCGAGTGTGATTTATTGAGATGCTTGATCGCTTGATCCAGCAGGCGCCCGGCGCTGGTGTGCGCGCTGCGTAACGCTGGCCTTCTGCAGCTTGGCGATGGCCAGCATCTCCCTACTGCTAGGCTGGCAAGCCACAATCGGTTGGGGACAGCGTCTTCCAACGTTTGGCGCCCGGGGACACGAGAAGATGCACCGGGCCAGGTGATGCTGCCTGCGTCTACACCAAGGAACAAGGCAATTAGCGAGGACTATTATGGGTACAGCTTTCGCCGCACGCACACACCGCAAGGAGAGCTCTCCACCGGCACATGCTCACCACGCGTCGCGCATCCTTGGCGCTTGCGTCGGGGGGGACAATTCATCAGCGTTTCGGAAGACAACTCATCAGGACAGACCCAACGGTCTTCAAAGCTTTGCTTGCGCCGAGGCAACGAATGACAATCCCTGGCGGCTCGTCACACTCCCTCCCCCCTCGCCCGACGTGCATCCGGATCTCCGCCCAGCAGGGCAAAAAAGCCTCTCACCCAGATTTCATCGAAGATGTATCTTCCTCTCAGATTCCCGCTTCTTGAGTCAGTTCCATGGCCTGCGGGAAGAGCACGTGAAACTCAAACGTATCTTCGGGAGTCTAGGCTGCGCTTCGAGGAGGGCCTTTTTTCGTCTCTGCAGGTTGCTGCATAACGATACCGGGGCCGGATGCATGAAGACGCTGCCAGTATCGTACACCGCATATGCAGGATGCACACGCCCGCTTTCTTTTTTTTTTCTCCTTCTCAGCTGCCAGGCTTACAAACAACTCAGTCAACCCCTGCTCTCGCGAGGACTTCGCACCCGTTGGGTGCACGTCTCCGAGAGCTTGCTCACGGACGTAAGCTTGAAGTTTTTTGACATTAAGATTTGGTGTGGTGTTGAGCTATCGGCCCTATACTACTCTGCCGTGATGCCGAAAACAGCAGACGATTCACGCCATTGAAGCAAAAGAGAAAAACTTGGGCTCGCCATTGGGTCGGGCAGCAGGCACGAAACAAACCAAAGAGTCTGGCGGGCGAATAGAATTGCTCACGGCATGGGCTCCGGACGATAGGAGCCAGTGTCCGGTCTTCAGTCATACGATTCGCATCCTTCCCGCAGCTGAACAGCGACCGGAGACGGCTGGACGAGAAAGACGGGTTGGTAGAGGCTTGTCGCTCATTTCCTACTTGACGCAACTAGGCCTGGGCGCCGGCGGGCTGAGCGCAGAAGCCAGCTGCTCAAGGGAGGCCGTAGTCGATCGAAATTCCGGAAGCGGTAAGCCGACGCGGTGATCAACTAAATGCACAGAAAAGAAAAATAAGGGTTCACGAATATCGCGAGTCTGGCCGGCGACGGCACAGCTGAAGACCGAGCAGCGCGAGCTCCGGGCTGCGGCTCAGACAAGGCGGAGGTGAGTCCGTCTAACAGAGCCAGCTGCTATGCTCCGCCCGCCGCCGCGAG